CTTTAATACTTTAAATGAATCAGACATTAATAGGTAAATTATGAACAATAAAAATATAAACGTGAAAACACTTTTGTCAAACTTTCCAGATAATCAACTACAATTAAAAAAGCTGGTATGTTGTTCATAAGAATAAGTTTTATTTTATACATGTTCATACACTGGAAAAATGCTGTAGCAGCTGTAGGACGCCCCTTATATAGGTTGAGCCACGTAAAACTATAAATCTGCAGACGCTTTTAACTGGAAAACTTTAAACTGAGTAGGAACTGAATGGTCAGAATACCATTTAAAATAATTTATATTAAATTGATGATATTTTTGGATTATTGTAATAATTATATGAAATTGTAATAACGAGGAAAACTACAAGGACGTGAATTTACTGAGGCCCTTCCTATGGAGCCTCAGTATTGCGTTCGTGCAGACTAAAACATTTTCTGACCCCCATTTTTTAAAAATTTTTTTATGTTTCTGATCATTCTGAGTCTGAAAATCCAAAAACAAATTTTCGTCTGGTCGTCTGTGTGTATGTATGCCGGCACGATAACTCTAGAACAAAAGTTCTGATTGACTTGCGGTTTTGATTTTCTTGAATAATTACTTCTAACTTAGAACCCTATTGATTTTCAGAATTTTCGGTTCATCCTAACTACTTTAATAACAATTTTCTTAAAATCCGCCTATGCATTCCTTTAGTGACAATTTTAGGAATTTTAATTATTTCTAACGTCAAAATTCCCAACATTCTTTACATTCCATAAATTGCAAACATTCTCTAACGACCTGTCAAACAACAGCTGTTGCGACCTTCATACTTGCAACCATAGTCACTTTTAAGGCTATTTTATTGGAAATTAGTCGCCAAGCCTGTCAATTTATGAAAAATATATAAGCAACTTCTTAAAAATGACTTTTTATGGTGGTGGTAACTTAAGCGTACTACTATTTGGCCCCTAGCCACAAAAACACCTTCATCAAATTTACCGGCTATCTGTCGCAACCCAATAGAATAATTAACTGGCCATTTTATTTGGCAAAAATCAGTGCCTGTCAAGTATCAAGATGTCATCTGTGATATGTGAATGGCTCTTAAATGTCAAATTATTTAAAAATGTATGCTTCTTTTGATATTTATTGCAAATAATTTGTAAAGTATCTCAATTCAGGCTTTCCATAAATAAAGGTACAGCAAGACAGATAATATAATGTTCTTATACAAAGCACTTTTTTAATATATAAAAGAGAGGTAGGATATAATGCCCATTTCAAATTTGGATCAATTATGATACCGAGGTATTTTGTTGTGTTTTTCATTTTAATTATAAAGTTGTCATTTATTTGTATGTTGAAAGACGGACTTTGTAAATTACATTGCTCTCTATGGATCTACTTTAACACAAAAATAGTTTTGTGGCTATAAGTTGCTATAACCTATCGTCGCAAAACTATTAATAATTTAAACATAGTAAGTAGCATTAATATAACATCAAGTAATTTTTTAAAATAAAGTATATGATTTCAAAACAAATAATCTATAATAAATGCGGATAAAACGAGGGGTAAAATAACAACAAATTAAGGGAAATACTTAAAAAGGACAGGTTTAAAGAGTATTATCACAAGAAAGTATATTCGTTTTGTTTATTTATCAAGTATTGTTTGAGGTTACCTTTGAATACATTTATTGTTTTTTTTTTAATTTCTGTAGGCAGTTTATTAAATTTTTTAAACCTTTAATAAAAATTGTATTTTGGGAACTTTTAGTGATGGGTTGCCGTACATGAAAGTCAGATTGGTTTCTTGTATTATAGTTGTGATATTGCGAATTATATTGAATTTTTTCTAATACATCTGATGCGAGGGTACATCATTTTTATTTTATAAATAAATATCAGTCATGTACTGAACATAATTCTGAACTGAAAGCCAATTTATTTATTTTAACATAGTTGCAATACTTATCCTTCTGTCATTTATTAATAGGATATACATAGGCGAAGTAAGAAGCCCAAATAGTTTACATGAACAGGCTTAAGAGGTAAAGGGGCCAATTGTTATTGGATAAATTGCTCGAACAAGTTTTTAAATCCTAATTAAAAGGCGTTATAAAATGGTTTTAAAAATCAAGGCTTGTGAAAATCATCACATGGTTTAACCTAAGTATTGCCAGTGCTTCACAAACCATTCAAACCTTGCCAAACCAATTTACAATTGTACTAGATGTAGTACATTCTGATACTCTAGTACCCTAACAAAATATAGTTTTTCTTCCCCGGCGTGTCGCTTTGTTGACGTGCAAAATATACTGTTGTCTTCCTTTTTTATATTCGTTCTCTATAAAGATCCCTTTTTTGCTCTTTAATGAATTAGACCGTCACTACAAATAGAATTCGAAAAATCGGGTACATTTATGGAATTTACTATATTTTTTAGACAAATCTGGTACATAACGAAAACATATTCTGGAAACACTGTTCCAAACCAAATAAAATCTGAATATAAAGCTCCATAAGTCTATGTTAATTGTGCCGCAACGTATTGTCTTGAAGGTAAAGCATTTACCAATATTTTAGGCATAAAACTATTTTTGAGGTTATGTTGTTTTATTTGCCCATTTAGTTTGACGATTGTTATTTATGTTTTATATTTTGTGTTTCAGTAGTTAGGACTACTTCAGAATGGTATTTTTATTTTTTTTTAAATTGTTTGTTTCCTTCACAACCTGTTGAAAGGAAAAAATTAATTATTCTGATAAGGTAACTACTTGAAGACATAAATAAAAAACATACAATTATTAAACGTTGGGTATACGAGATAAGAAAAAGAGACATATGTTCTTGCAGTTGTCACTTTACAAATGAGCATTGAAAAGATGGATGAACCATATTTAAAATTAAAGCAATAAGAAACTTTGCCGTTGCATCAGCTGAGAAATTTATGTACATTTAAATAGCTTATATCAAGTAATATTTGCCTATAGTTATCAATTATATTACCCCCTAAAGTATCTTGTGTGTTGTGTGCAAACCTGATGCATTAAGGTTGTTATCCTATCTTATTTAAATATTCTGAAATTGTTTAATACCTATCAACTTTTAAACTGGAATTTATTTTCTAATATTTCTTGTTGCGATTATAAAAATATATTTTATTTTAATAATATTGAATATTGCCTTGTTTGTATAATCTAGCATTTTTAAAAATATTAGGTGTGTTGGTAATTGGATCCCTGCAGGTATTAAATAAAAATAAGGCAGTTATTAAATTAGTTTACAGTTGGCAATAAAGTATGTCTCGAAAACAGCAATAAGTATCAAACATTCATTGTGATTATGGTAGGCACATCCCACATATCTACATGCTCTGGGTAATCAATAGTATAAGTACCTGCTAAACTCAAGATATTGCAAGCATGATGTCCTTGAAAGGGTTTATATGCAAACAAATTTAACCTTGAAATGAATTTAAAATCGAAAACGAAAGTCGAAACTGGTTTAATTGCTCTTAAAATATTTGGATGAATTTTATCTAAGAGTATTCTCCTTGGGTGCCAGGGCACAAAGGTATCCAAGGAAATGAAAAGGCTGATGAACTCGCCAAAGAGGGATCAGATCTAGCATTCACAGGACCCGAACCTGCTCGACAAGCAGTGAACAGGTGGATAACCACAAAACATCAAATTTACTGGCAATAAATAAGATGGCACAGAATCAGTAAGCTCATGTTAAGGGGACCAAACGCACGTATGGCTACTGAGGCACTACAACTAGCAAAGCCTAGATATCCACCATTGTGGAATTACTAACGGGGCACTGCTTGCGGAAACACCTTCATGTGATGGGATTACACAATGATCCCACTATGTGTAGGCTCTGCATGGAAGATGAAGAAACCTCATACCATGTGATCTTCGAATGCGAAGCTCTTACTAGGCGACGTTTTATCCCTTTCGGCCTAGAACCGGAAAGAACGTCCTAGGAACACTTGGTAGGGAATCTATTAAAACTAACCACAGACTATTCCAAAGATAGTACCTGAATACGGGGAAAGCAGGGGGAAACAATAGACTCAAGAGGCCGCAGTGTTCTAGGCCAAACCTAACCCTACCTGCTTACAACCGATAGAGATAAAGATAAAAAAAAAGATTCCCCTTGCAAGCATTAGTTTTTCCACAAACACCAAAAATTCTACTATTTTGACTAGTTTTTCATGAAAACTCGGAGTATAACTGCTAAAAAAATGCTCAAAGTGCAAAATTCTTAGTTAAGAGTCTTTAAAGATAAGAGGAATTAAACCAACCTATTTTATTACAACTGAACCCAAAATGTTTTGAATTAATATTTATATGAAATTTAACTAAATTAGATGTAATTAATTAATGTAACTGAATTAATTGTAATAATTTTCAATAAATTCCAAAACCTAGTTAATGTTAAATTGGATGTGGCAACAGGGCTTACACCGACATTGTCTATTGCAAGCGTGCAGCTCTTACACCTGGCATACACATTTATTCATTTATAAAAAAATTGTATCGCTGTAAAATCCTTCTCTGCGCCCCTGTATCAAACTATAAACAGCAAGCAAAAACAATACATGCCACTTTTTGCAGTCAAATGAGGGACTATAGCATAAATGTGGTAAGTAAGAGAAAAACAGTAGAGCAACTGAGGAGACTGAAATAAAAAAAAACAATGGTGAAAAACAAAAGTCGGTGATGCAGATTTGTTCATAGTAAACAATAAATAACACAACCTGTACCAATACGATAGAAGTGGCTTATGATGATGAGGATCATAATGATAATAACAGAGTATAAGGTCTGTTGCGATATTTCTTTCAATATAAAATAAAAATACCAAAACAAATGAATCACCTCCTTTATATATTTATTCAACCAGACTTTAAATGAAGAACAAACAATTACAGGAAACAATATTCAACACACTAATTTATTCATGATTCGCAAATTTCTACAGACACTCCTTCCGATCTACATTTTGACCTAGACCGATGTCAAAATCTCAAGATTTCAGCCTTGTTCAAGGCATGTTAACCTTATCTCCCAAACAGCGCCATCAAGGAAGGCCTCATTATTGACAGATAACCTATATAAAAGCAATACCGATCTAAATGAATTCATTCGTAAATTAATTTGTAATTAAAATGTTGTTTAAATTAATTGTTGTTATTTCCGTGGCGATTTCAGTAAGAGGAGGGTTGATTCCACAAACATATCAAGAAAACGTGGTGTTGGCGGAGCCACATAATCCCAACCCTCAGTACTCTTATTTGTATGAAGTACAAGATCCTATAACAGGTAAAGTAACAAGTAATTAAATATACGGGGTGATTTAGAAATTCATTTTTAATAACGGTAATTATTTATTATATTTTTAAAATGTTGAGTTGTTTGAATGCTCTAATATTTTAACTATATTATTATAGAATATTCATTTTTGTTTAAAGTTCGCAAAATCAACCTTTATACAATGAAATACGAACAACATGTTTTGTTCAACTGTACAAAAAATAATGCCAATAAGTAAAATTTGTCTTATTTTGGTTTATTGCTGTGAATTTTCGTTTTCATATTTTTTATGTAGTAGTTTTTAAATTCGAACTCAAAAAATTACATCGATTTTAGCGTTATCAGGTAATTTGGCGACTCATTTAAGATGTTGATACCAAATGTAAAACATTTAAATTATCTGATGTATCAAAGATAATACAAATGGTTTTCATGTCAGAAAAAAAAATATTTTCCATTTATAATAAATTTCAAATATTTTTAAAATAGTGTTTTTTTACAGGTGACAGCCACGGTCAGTACGAAACCAGAGAAGGGGGTGTAGTAAAAGGCGCTTACGCTTTGATGGATTCCGATGGAACGAGAAGGTTGGTTGAATATACAGCTGATGCTGTCAACGGCTTTAATGCGGTAGTGTCTAAACAACCAACGGGAAAACTTCATGTAGGACCTGATGGTAGACGTTTAGTCTAGTTATTTATTTTTCTGTGATTGTTTTCTAAGACTGTACCTTCTTTTATTTATTTTTTATTAAAAAATAGCATTAAATTCTATTTGTTTCTTTGTTTTGTACTTTCTGATGAAATTATTGGTATCATTATTAAGATTCTACAAAAAATATATAGGTATTTTTCAAATTATAAATTTCTATTATTGAAAAGTTATTTTTCTGTAAGGCAGGTGGATGACAGTTACTGAATTTTAATGAAAAATATTAATCCATGATATTATGCTGTATGGTTACCAACATATTGACTAAAAGTTTTTTAATGGAATATGGTTACATACCTAATGTACTTACTCAAAAGTCACTAAAAAAATAAAAGGTCTCGTTTTAATAATTTCAAAACATTCTTTTTTGTGGATGGCCGCTCATCCGGTATAAAAAGTATACATAGCGAAATCTTTTAACCTCAAAATTGTGAACGGGTAGATATTAACTGAATTAAATAATTTCTTTGTAGCGCAATTATAGACTGCAAAAATGTATTATGATTTATTTGTTAATCACTCTGTGGCAGTAAATATTTTAAATTCTTTCTTTTTATTGAGATTTTACCAAAACTTATGTTATACTTATATATTTTACATAAAATCAATCTAGTGCTTAAGTTTAAATAAAAAGTAACTATAAGCAGCAATTCACCACTTTAACGCCCTCTGTCTCGAAAACTAGTCATATTATTTAAAATTTACACCGCTTAGAACGGTGTTAGAAATATTATGTACTGAGAAAATGCTTACATTTGACCGGAGAAATGTTAAAATCGTTTTTGTATTCATCTACTTTTCTTAAAATAGAATATCTTTCAACAAATAAGCTTAGGTGTAAACATATTTAAGTGCTATTACCATTCTTAATAATTAATTCATAAACGCAGGGTCTTGAAATATTCCTTAAAAAAATTAATTTTATGTTGTGGTCCTCTGTTTAAAATTCCCTGTACAATAAATATATGCTTTGGGTGTTGTATATGCTTTAGGTGTTATTTATAGAGCTCCTAATAATAATAATGATTACGAATTTCTGTCATTTTTAAGTTATTTTGAAAATGCAATAATTGAAGTTTACTCTGATGTTGATAATATTCTATGCCTTGGTGATTTTAATATTGATAATTTCAATATACAATCACAACACTATTCTTGTGATCTTACCTAGAATAAAATGTATAAATCCCAGGTCGAAGAACCAAAAACAATAGTGATGTCAAATCTGAATTTTTTATTTATGACACTACTTTCATATATTTTTTACAATCCAGTCAACCAAAAATAACATGCAGAGTATTCCAATTAAACATAGAAAAAATAAAATAAATCTGTAACAAATCTCCCCCCTATTAATTGGTTCTGTGAACAATTACTACTTCATTTGTCTCTGTCTAATGTCTTCTGGTCTTCTGACTGGTCGTTTTCCTCTTCTTTTCTTCTTAAATCCAGAATGCATAATTTGTTCACAGGACGAGAAAATCGACTACTCTTACTTTTCCGTCCTTGGCTGGATAAAGTTTCACAACTTTCCCTTTTGGCCAAAGGATCCTAGGATTGTTGTAATCTACAATTAGGACTATATCTCCCAGCTGAATAAATTTTTTATCTGAAAACCATTTATTTCGTTTAACCATGGAAGGAAGATATTCTCGCAGCTATCTTTTCCAAAATAAGTCAGCAATTTTTTGTGAACATTTTTATCTGTGCAGCAAATTTACATTCTCCTCACTAACATCAGTACAAGGCATTGCTGTGTAAGTGGGACCAATTAGAAAATTATTTGGGGTTAACGGTTCGGGGTCATCAGGGTCAAGTGATACGTGTGTAAGCGGTCTTAAGTTTAAAATATTTTCAATTTCCGCAAAAGCTGTTTTCAAAACGTGTTCTTGAGGTGTCTTGGTTTTTAAAATTTCTTTAAGAATTTTCTTGACGCTCCTCCCATGTTTGGGGCATTTGCTGGGTTCCAAATCCATTTAATTCCTTTGATGCAACAAAACTTACTGATCTCGGATTGATTCAGTTTTGCTACATTTTCCGATAGCTCTCGTTCTGCACCCTTAAAATTGGAACCATTGTTGCTGAACACTGTTTCAGGAAATCTGCGTCTTGCTCCAAATTGCCGGAATATATGCACGAATCCATCAGTACTTAAATCATAAACAATTTCTAAGTGAATCGCTCGAGTTACCATGCAGGTGAAGATAACTCCATAACGTTTTCCTCTACTTCTTTTAACTACAACTTCTAATGGACCAAAGGAATCTACTCCAGTATTTATAGAGGGTCGAATTATTGGTTCAAGATGACAAGGTGGCAACTGTCCCATTAAAGGTGGCTTAGGTAAAGCTGTTCTGTTCTTACATTTCTGACATTTGGCCCACCAGCTTCTGACTGCTTGTCTTATTTGAAGAATCCAATATTTTTGCCTTAAAATATTAACTACAGTTTCTTGTCGATGGGGGTTCACCTCTTCATGATGATGATGAATTAGCAAAGTAGTTATGTCATGTATGGGATTTAACAACAATTGGATGTTTAATGTTGTTTTCTAATTGTGTAGATTTTTATAATCTTCCACCTAGTCGAATAAGACATTTAGACTTATCATGTGTACAATTTAAAGTATATAACCTAAAGCTAGTAGGCAACTCTTTTTCTTGTGAAAGAAAACAAATTGCTTCTGAAAAACAGTCCTCTTGCACCTTTCTTAGCAATAACGTTTTAGCATTCTTAATCTCTCCACAAGGGAGTTCATGATCTCTTCTATGATCCTTGTTTTTGCAATTCCAAAAATATCTTAGTAACCCTAAAAGTGTTAACCATTTTGAAAATCTTTTTGGATCAGGGAGAATTAACTTATCTCTAGTTTGCAGCAGAAACGTAAATTCTTTCCGTTCTTTAGTTTCTTCAACATTTACCTTGCCATCGTTTTCCAAAGGCCAGTTTTCTTAATTTTCTGATAAAAACAATGGACCATTAAGCCACCTACTTTTTGAGGAAAAGTCAATAGTTTTAAAATATTTCGTAGCTTCATCAGCGACGTTTGATTTGGATTCAACGTACCTCCACTCCAAAGTGTTTGGTAGCTCCTGGATTTCACCTAGTCGGTGAGCTACAAACATCTTAAAGTGTCGTGCTTCTGATCGAATCCAATGAAGTACGGTCTTTGAATCTGTCCAAAAAAATACTGAATTTAATTTTAAGTCTAAATTACTTTTTATAAAATGTCCCAATCCTGCTTTCATCAAGGCAGCTTGAAGTTCCTGTCTTGGCACTAACTGTGGTCGTAAAGGAGCCACTTTATTTTTGGAATTTAGAAAACAGACTATTATTTCTGTTTCATCTTGCCATCTAAGATAGGCTACTGTCGCAGTAGTATTTTCAGAAGAATCACAAAAAACATGTTTTATTTGGCAATTACCTCTGTCAAGTTGGCAGTATTGTCTTTGTATTTCGAATTTAGAAATATTTTTTTAAATGTCTACCCAATTATTCCATTTTTCCAATAAATTATCCGGAATTTCGTCATCCCATTCAATTTTTGACCTCCAAATATCCTGAAGAAATATTTTACCTTGTATCATAAAGTAAAATATAAATTCAAGAGGGTCAAATACTGACATCACTACTTTTAAAACATCACGTTCTGACGGTCGTTTAGTTTTGTCAAGTACACTTTTTCTATTTTATAAAATTTCGTTTTAAAACAAAATGTATCTTTATCAGGATTCCAGAAAACACCTAAGATTATTTCCGTTGAAGGGTATAAAGATTTTTGACTTTCTGCTAGTATAGACTTATCTAAATGACTAACCAAACTTTTTTTGTTTGTTACCCAGTTACATATAATAAATCCTCCCCGCTTATGTACGGATATTACTTCACTTATTAATTTCCTTGCTGCCTCTTCTGAATCCGCGAAACCTAAATAATCGTCCATGTAATGATAATTTATGATAGCGTTAGAGGCTTCTGGATACTGTTCTTGAAAATCCAGAGCATTTCTGTTTTTTGCAGACTGCGCTAAACATGGTCCACAGCTAGAACCAAAGAATACAACATTGATTTAATAAATATTAGGCTCTTGGTTTCGTTCCATGTCCCTAAAAAGTATTTGTTGTGCAGCTCGATCTTTAGTCCTTATATTTACCTGCAGAAACATTTCTTTTATGTCGGCAGTAAAAGCGTAAGTCTTTATTCTAAAATTTAATAAAATCGTTTGTAATGAATTATATAAATCGGGACTTGTAAGAAGACACTCATTTAAGCAAATCCCATGTGACGATGAAGAAGCGTCAAACACAATCCGTAGCTTTTTTTGTTTGTTGGGGTTTGTAACCCCAAAGTGAGGAAGGTACCACAGTCTTTGGTTAGGTTCCAGTATATCTGAAGTCAGTTTCGAAACATAGCCCTTATTTTCCATGTCTTTTATTTTTTCACAATAGTTTAATCCTAAATTCTTATCTTTGTCCATTTTTTTTTTCGGTGCAAAGTAGTCTTTTCATAGCGATGTTCTTACTCTCAAATAAAATTACATTGTCGTTTTTCCATAGTAGTCCAACTTCAAACTTGTCCCCTATTCTCCTTAAAGCCCTGTTGATAATTTCTTGGTCTCTAACACTTCTTTGGACATACTGTTAGCTTGGCAATCAAAAGTTTCTTGTTTTTATTGATCTTTTACAGGATCATGTAGTAGATCTAAGTCGTCTTTGACATTTGAGTCAATAAAATTAACAAAATGTTTAAATTCTTTGCATAATTTAATATCGCAATTGCCATGAATTACCCATCCAAGCAAAGTCTTTGAAAGAACTGGCCCATTCCGAGGTCCATAAATAGTTCAGCGAGTCTCTAAAAGAGGCCAATTTTCCTGAACAATAATAATTTTAGGTTCGGCATTTTTTATGGACGAGATCTTATTATCTACGTATGTATACTTCTGTCTTAAATTATCCGTGTCAATAGTCTGAGAAGGTAATCATAAATCTTTAATGGTCCGTACATGTCTTAAATAATAAGATTTGTCATGAGCCACACCAGAGTTGATTCTAAAGTTCACTACTTTTGAATCATCCTGTACATTCACTTGACTACTTGTCCACTGTAGACATAGTGATTGTTGTGGTCCGTCAATTTGCAGTTTGTCAGCTAGTTCTGCGTCGATTAGAGTCACAGTTAATGCATCATCTAACAAAGCATAAGTATTTGATGAAATATGTCCATTAAAAATGGTAACGAATAAAATCTTTAACAAAACTTTATTAGTATTTAAAATATGACAAATATTTTCAACAGCTACTGGATTAGAAGTAGTTTGAAAACTGTTACTAGGATTGTTTTGGTTATTTTCAACAGAATTTGGATGTAAAAGTCGATTATGATAACGTTTTATAAATAGGAATTTAAATTCCACATGCAGCATCTGCTTTACGGTCTAACCATAAAGAAAACTCAACCACATAATGTAAGTAATATTGAGCATCTTAATAACTTCTTTGTTGAAATTCCTAATTTAAATAAACCCAATGAAGAAACTATTCAGTTTTATTCAAGTAATGACTTTCAGTTCAGTAGTGTTAACAATGATGAAATTTAAAAAAATATAAAAACTAAAGCATATGGTTCTGACAAAATAAATATCGTTATAGTTATAACTTGCTGTCCCTTTTCTTCCCAACTATCTGGAAGCATGCTTATGTAATTCCTTTTCCTAAAGTGTCTCGTCCCACGCAGTATAATCAATTAAGAAGTATTACTATACTCCCAACTCTTTCCAAAGTTTTTGAAAAACTTTTAGAAAACCAAATAAATGTCCACATTAAAAAAATTTATATGTTACCTATAACACAATCTGGCTTTCGAAGTGGTTATGGCTGCTCAACAGCTGATGAAATTTTACGTTCTCTTGATATTAATAAAGTTTATATATTAGTCTTGATAGACTATTTGCGCACCTTTGATATGCTTAATCATAAATTGTTGCAAGCAATTCTACATTATATTGGCTTTAGTTACACATCATTTTCTCTTCTCTCCTCCTACTTATCCAATAGAGTCCAGCAAGTACAACTTAATGTTAACTTATGTGACTGTTTTCTCCTTCTTCATGGTGTCCCTTAATTTTACTGTACACAATTTATACCTCATTTTTGCATACGAATTTTTCGCATTGTAAATATCACTTATATGCTGACGATACCCAAGTGTACTACTCTTGATTCATCTGCCATCAAAGATTCGGTTAGTAAATTAAAGGAAGATCTCTTTGTTCATATCTAATAAACAAGCATAGCAAATAAATGCCAAAAAGTCGGGTGTTCTTGTATTTTGTAGTAACATTCAAACAATTTTAATTTAACCACAGGTAAAGTTAGTATAATAGGATCTGAAATCATTAGAATCAATGATTCTTGCAAAAATCTTGGTTTATTCTTCTCTTAAATTAATTTATCAACATAGAACTGCTTTAAATGTTGAAACGAAGAGAATGCTTGCTGATTCGCTGGTATTGTCAGACTTTAATTATTGTGACACGGTGAACGGTCCATTTCTGCGCCAAACTGATAAAAATAAAATTCAAATAGTACAGAATAGCTGTCTTTGTTTGATTTATGACATAAGGAAAAGACATAGAATTTCACCCAAACTAAAAGTTGCAAAGTGGCTTAATATGTGTAATCGGCGCAGATTAACATTATCTGTGTTTATTTTACAAAATTTTAAAAACTGAAATACCAGAGTATTTGTGTAATTAATTTAAGAAAAAGAAATATTATTACTATACCATCCCATAATAAAAAAATATTTAAAACATCGTTCAACTATCAAATTGCAATTTTTGGTCATCTACTGGGTTTAAAAATAAATACATAAACATAATTTTTAGTGAACAATCATCATAAGTTAATATTTTTATCATTTATATTTGCATTTTGCATTTTTTACTTTAAGTTAATTTATAGTTTTTTTTTTCTAATTACTATTATTATTATTTAATGTATAATGTGAAATATTTTGTCGCCAAAAAACTATATTAAGTAGTACTTTCTGAAAATAGGCTTTCCGTCAGCCACAGTAGAATTAGTGAAATTTTGCAAAAAACTACCGTCATACATTTTTGAGTCACCCTGTAAATTAAAATATTTTTAATTGTACGCATGTACTAATGTATTAATAAAACATGTAGTAATCGTGTGTAAGTAACAGAAATTCAGTCTAGCTCGTAAGTTTGAAAATAAAAATTTTGAAATCTGGGCAATTTTCAACGAAAACTAGTTGGGCTCATTTACTTTTTAGTTTTAGTACAACATCATACCAAAGTTTCAGAAAATTTGAGCTGTTGCCACTTTACATAAGCAAATTGCGGGATTCTTTTAATCGGCGCTACCATTTTTATTTAGGTGCTACGCCTATTATTTTTCTATTTTACTCTTTCTACATTATTTACAAAAAAAGGATTAATAGGAAAATAAAAGTAGACATTTAACATAAAAATTTAAATTATCTGAATTTATTGGTAAACATGACGAGACATAGGGGACGTACAATTTTCAAATTAAATAATTATTTCTTCGGCCTTCAGTGATATCTGAATGGCAAAATTTTGCTAAAATACTTTGTAAATGTTAAGGTTTAATAAAAAAAATTGACACTGTATGTTAGTTACTCTCAATAAAAAATTAATATTATAGAATCATTTAAAAAAGGTGTCAGTAATGTAATTAATTCAGTTGGAATAACAAATTTCTTCACAATTTCTGTATTTCGATCGCCAACAGCTCCGGTTGTAAATTGTAATTAGAATTCCAACGAATAGAATGACAATACTAAAACATAATGTCAAACATTGTATGTAATACACAATGCTCTGATATTGCCAAATTGTCTGCTTTGTATTCACTGGAAGCCTTTTCGGTTGCATATGAATCCATAATGGGCATGTAGATATATATAAACCAAGTGAATTTTGAAAACAGCATACAGTCAGTGTACTCGTAGTTGGATTTTGTGGTAAAAATGACTCTTGAGGTATGTACAATTCAATTGGAATAGTGAGTGATTTGTGATTAAAGAGAATGAGGTTTTGTTTGTGAATAATGAAACAGAATAAAGCAGAATTTTCAACTTTTGTATTTTTAGTAATCAGAATAACTTTATTTAAAAACGGAAAATTTTTTCTATTGTCTAGTTAAAGTTAATTTAAAATATTATTCTTTTATTTTAAAACAGATTTATTTTTCTAATTTTCCTAGTGGTACCAAAAATTAACAGCTAGATTCTCAAGGAAAATAATAAATACTATTATCGAAGAATAGTCGTATAAAATGTTTTAATCAGTTACATAGAATATCTAGATTTTCTTTATTGTAGTGGTTTTTAATTTTTTTAAATTTTTTTATTATTATGTATTTTTTTTTCTAATAAACTGAAAAACAATATAAATATATTTAATTTTTCCAAATATTTCTGATTTTTTGGTCGGTGGATCATTTTTAATACTTAAAAATATTTTTTTATCATTTTCATTAATATTTTTTTTATCACATTCATTTTTTATTTAATTTTAAATTATTTCAAAATTATTTCAAAATATTTTTTAATTTTTATAAACCATATAAACCATTTATCAATTACATTTATTTCTTAATTAATTATTTTGTATTTTCAATTTATTTTTAATGATTTAAAAGTTTATGAAATTTTAAATATTTTCTTTTTAAATTTTACTTGTAAAAGATAAAATTATTACACAAAGGTCAACCTTTTTTTATTTTTTAAACAAATTTAAAAAAGAATTTCATTTATTTTATATAGGATTCTAAATCATAAATATTGACGGTAAAATTTCTCACTAGTTCCCACTATGAATAGTTTATATAAATATAAAGTTTCTTGGTTTTTTGGTCAAATAGTTTATTAAATTTTTATAATTTAAGGACTACATATATATATATTTTTAGGAAAATACAATTTTTCCATCTTCTGGTGCAGTCAATTTATAAAAAGTATGGAGGCGAATACAATTTAAATTTTTTTTAAATAATAGAACCCCAGCTTTCTATTTCACAACGTGTTGACCCAAAAAAACAAGGATCTTTTAATTTAAATATAAATCTACTACGGTCAAGAAATTATCCTTATTCTAATGGATAGTTTTAGCCTAAATGATTACAGAACTATTTTATTTTAAAGCTTTTTATTTTGTTAATACAAATTATATAAGAAATTTAATTTGGAACTATTTATTGCACATCTGAAATAATAATAATTACGTTCTTAAATGTAAACGTCTATTTTATATTTCAGCTATTCTTCTTGCCTGCCCTCTTGGCCCTCACTTCAGCCTCAGTTGTAGGTCCAGCCGCCCGTACAGTTGTCGCACCTGTGGCAGCAGCTCCAGCAGCACTAGTCCAAACCCCAGTCCTAGCCCGAATCTCAGACGACACAGTAGACCCAAATCCATCTTACTCCTTCGCGTACGATGTCCAAGATTCCATAACAGGCGACTCCAAAGGTCACATCGAAAGCAGAGCCAACGGCATTGTCCAGGGACAATACAATGTTGCAGAGCCCGATGGTACCAGAAGAATCGTAGACTACACAGCCGATCCAATCAATGGTTTTAACGCGTTGGTGAGGAAAGAACCACTGGTTGTAGCTGCACAACCTGTTGTAGCTGCCAGAGCGGCAAAAATTGTTAGTACACCTGTAGCAGCTCCAATAGTTGCTCGGACAGCACCTTTAGTGGCTCAAGCAACACCTGTAGTAGCCCGGACAGCACCTTTAATAACTCAATCGGCACCCTTAGTAGCACAAGCAGCGCCCGTTGTCGCCCGAACGGCACCCTTGGTGGCCCAAACTGGTCGTTTTTTGGCCCAATCGGCGCCACTTGTTGCGCAAAATCAACTAATTGCCGCAGCACAACCTTATAGTGTGTTTGGCGCTTCTGCTCCCTTATTAGCTAGATCTTATAATTATGCCCAGTACGTAAATGCTCCTTTGACTTACAATGTCGTATAAAGAGGGAACTGGTCGGTAGGAAAATGTAGGAAGAATTGAAACTTGTAGCGGGTATATAAAATTTGTTAAACAATTTAAACTTTATGTAAGATGATTTACAAAGGAATTATCAGAATATTGTTTATTTGAAACAAAGTTCTTCTTTTGGTAGATATAAATATATTAACATTTTCAAAATATATAGGAAATTGTGATATATGAATATTTTCTGTAGTTGTTTCCCATAATTTAATATTCTGTTTCATATATTGATTATTATATTTATTGATTAACATTGATAACTTTTAATATTAATATATTAATTATGTCAACGAATTTTATATTTCCGGATACATTAACTTGCTCAAGTGTATTTTTGATGTGTTAAAACTTTTGTATATACCTTGTTTTTTTATAATTTTGCATACCTTTTTAAATAAAGAATAAAAAAATTAAATTTTTGTTTTGTTGAAATTAAAGTAGTGTAACTACTTTTTGGTTCACGATAATACGAACATTGTAAACCTAAGCCACCATATCTGTAAGGTTAAAAAGGGCACACTTAGGCTTCACTAAGTCTATTGTGCATCCTTTAAATGATGTTTTAGATTTTAGTGTACTGCGTTCTGATACTGTCAATATATTAGCTTTTGACACATTGGTCTGAACTTCCTAATCATTGATGATGGCATATAATAAGTCATTCGAATGATATGATTCGAATACTCGATAAATTCGATTTGCAATTCTTTGAGTATTTGGTTATGATGATCATTCGATTATGCCCTTCACTACTTTACCTCTGATTCTTCATGAAATAATTAATTTATGAAGAATTTGATAGACATAAAACTAAAACCAAATTTAATGAGTATTCATAAATAAATGTTTTGTTTTGCATTTTCATCCAATTATACTTTAAAGTTCAGAAATATTAACCTACACAACTATTTGTTCAATATTTGTTTTATTAGGTTTGTGGCTACAGGCGATAGAAGTGTATTTTCCTACTAATAGGCTGTATGCAATAATTATTCAATTTTCAATAATTTAGAAATGTTGTATACTTGTTAGTAATGGGTTTATATTGTATCCCAACGAGATATTGCTGGCATTTTGCTGTAACTGAAGGGAAAATGAATGCGACGATTAAAAGATAAAAGCCTACTTTTGTCCATTCGATAGTGGCCCAGCATTATGTTGGTTGATGATGGCCATATGAAGGGTAAGTAACTGTATTGGGTAAAAGCGGGGTAAAAGTCAAAAGGCTTTTAACTGCTGCAAACCCAAAGAAAATACCCCGAGAAAACACCTAACACCAAATTGGTCCATTTTCCAAGAATAAGAGAAGACTACTAGGGTAAACCACCCAGTCATTGGCCACTTATTAGTGATTGGCCAGATATATTTTAATCATCGTTAATAAGAAAGTGGCTTTATATTCTTTTAAGGATTTAATACCAACATAAACTTTCTTTACCCATTTCTTACTAAAAAAATTAAGCCTTTGGGTTGGTAATTCTGAATTAAAATGGCGACACGTTATTGACAAGGTGTACATGGCGTTGGTAGAAATCGTGATTGTGTTGTGATTTCTGTAAGAAGGTATATATACAAGGTAAGGAACAATAAGGTTCGATTAATTTTTTTTAACAGAGACTTAACTGGGGTTCCATTAAAATGAATATTATATGTTATTTATAGTCGTTTCGTACATCCAAATGTGATATTTGAATAAAAACAGGGGGGCCAATCACTGGCAAAAAAAAATTGTAAAAATGTAATCATTGGCCACGCAGGCCAATAACTAGTCCATGTTTATTTTTATTAAAATAAGATGTTAAGTCGTAATACTTTACAAAATATTCATTAAATGAAAGTTCTGCTTATAATATTAACATAATTTAATTAAATCTAGTCGTTGGCCGGGGGCCAATAACTAGTTGGAACGGGTGGCCAATAATTGAATGATATTGTAAACCTCTTTTATGTTAGCCGCGAAATTCAAAATGAATAATAGTTTCTTGGATTAATTGCTTACTATTTTTGCAATTTTAATAGAAATATTAAGCAATATCTACCTTAAAATGTGTAGGTAATAATTATGGTAATTTCAATTTTTTTTTAAACGTCAAAACTTTATTTTGTTTTGTAACCAAAAGTATTTTATTTCAGAAGTTATCATGCCAAAAGTTCAAGAAGGTCTGCAATATGCAAAAAAATACTCTGAAGAGGAACTGCAATCAGCTTTACAAGCAATTGAGGGAGGTATGCCTCTGCGGGAGGCAGCTAGAAAATTTAATGTTCCTAGGGCAACCTTGCAGTTTAGAAAAGGTGAAAAGTTTGTTAAGACAGGTTTTGGCCCTAACCCTGTCTTAACCAAAGAAGAAGAGGGTATGCTAGAGAAGTGGATTATTGAATTAGGAAAAAAAGGGTTTCCACGCAGGAAAGAAGACATACAATTGTCAGTCCAGACATTCTTGGAAAAAAACCCTCGAAAAAATCGTTTTACGAATAATTTTCCAAACGACACCTGGTACAAAGCATTTCTTCGGAGGCATCCAAATCTTGTACAAGGGACGGCAGAATTGGTTACATCAGCAAGCTCAAAATTAGCAGAAAATGACCTCAGAAAGTGGTTTAAGGACATCAAATCGTACCTTCAAGCTAAAGGATACGACTCAATTTTAACTGATCCCAGACGGATTCTCAATGGCGACGAAACTTGCTTTAACCTTTGCCCCAAAAATACGAAAGTTCTAGCTACTAGAGGTACAAAGAACATATATGAAATTGAACATGCATCATCAAAATTAAACATAACAGTAATGTTCACATTCTCGGCTTCAGGTATGACTACACCCCCTATGATTATCTTTCCAGGCAAAAGGCTAAAAGATCAAATTTACAAATCAGTGCCACAGGAATGGGGAATAGGGATGAGCGACTCGGGATGGATGAAGGCTCATGTTTTTTATGAATACGTTTCAAAAGTATTATATCCTTATCTGAAAGAAAAAAACGTACCGTTTCCAGTAATCCTCTTTATAGACGGGCATAAAACCCACCTTACATATGAAGTAAGCGACTTATGCCGAAAGTTAGAAGTAATTTTAATATGCCTCTATCCAAATTCAACCAGAATACTTCAACCAGATGATGTAGCAGCATTTAGGCCTATTAAAATGGGCTGGAAAGCAGCAGTCTTGGATTGGAGGCGAAAAGGCAATCTTAATACCACTCTAACGAAAGAAAAGTTTGCTCCTATTTTAAAAGAAGTTGTAGATACTTATGCGAAGTCTACAACCATTCAGAATGGATTTCGTGCAACAGGGTTATATCCTTTTGATGATAACGCTGTCGATTATTCAAAGTGTTTGGGAAAAAATAATTCTACTGCAACTGCAGAAATCCCCATTCAAGATCAATATTTTGATGAAAAAAAGGGGTCTCTTAGTTATCAAACTTTCGAGAAAATTGTTGGGAATGACCACATATCAAAATTTAAAAAATATGAAGAAGATTCCACATCACATTCCAAAGAATTTACACTGTTATATGAGCTTTGGAAGCAATTTAACTCTAACAAAAATGTATCAAAAGAAGTAAATATGGATGAAGATATTGGTCAAATAAATATGGATATAATGGATGTAAATGCAGATGTAACCGAAGATATAACTGAAGATATAACTGAAGATGTAACTGAAGATATAATTGAAGATATAACTGAAGATATAACTGAAGATATAACTGAAGATGTAACTAAAAATGTAACTGAAGATTTAACTAAAAATGTAACTAAATAATATATTAAAGAACAATCAAAACATGCTCAGGTGCAATATTTTAATATAGAAAATTTGCCAATTGTTTTTGATGCAGCTGAAAATAATGTCATAATTGAAGAAGTTACTTGTAAAACAGAAAATGTAAGTAAAGTTAAAGATCAGTCTGATCAGAAAAGCGATGTTGATATCAATGATAGTCATAGTTCAAGTTTCAATGAAATATTATATTGGCCAAAAACACCTAAACGTATAGGTAATAGGCAAACGGAAAAAGTTTCTTATGTAATAACTGGAACTGAATGGCGAGAGAACAAGCGGCAACAAGTGGAAGAGAAAATCAAAAAAGAAACAGAAAAAAAAGAACGTCTTAACAAAAAGAGAGAACAAGCTTTATTAAAAACACAAAAGGAACAAGAAAAAGAAGAGAGGAAAAAATCAAAAATTAGTAGGAAAAAAACCGCGGCTGTATCAAATAGAGAAAAGGTAACTGCGGAGAGCCAAAAGAAGAAATAGTCAAACAAAAAAGAGAATACGGAACATGAAAACATACATTTTGAATCTCCAACCTTACATTTTGAACCAACAAACGCACATTTTGGAAGCCTTACTCCAGAGAATGTTAAAAAAGTTACGAAAAATTTATTTAAAAAAAAAATCAATTAATATTCACTCCAATGTTCTTTTAAACCCTAGCGACAACTTAAGTGATTTAAATGGTATTTTACAGCAGATTGGACTTTCACAGGATTTAAATATCAAGAAAACTGTAGGTTTATGTTTTAGTTGTACTTATAATTGTACTGTTGATGATTATGCAATTCGGTGTTACAGCTGTGAAAGAGCCTATCATGTTAGGTGTTTAAAAAAACATAATGTTCATAAGTCGACATCTACAGTTTTCCACTGTTCAAGTTGTTTAAAAAAAATGTAGCCACTTTATTTTTTTCTTTTTAATTTTAAGGTGTTCTCTCTCATAATTTTTTATTATTTAAATATGGGCCAATGACTGATATTACCCTGGCCAATGATTGCAATTAGTCGGCCAATCTCTAGTAAATAGTACCATTTATAAATGTATTGTTATTCTTTTTCAAATAAAAAAAATTGTAAAACTCTTTGTTGTTTTATTAAATATACTCAGGAAAAATTTTATTTAAATATATGAAATAATTTGAAATCCATAACATAAAATGTAAAGATAGAATCTTAAAGGGCCAATCACTGACCGGT